TTAGAAATTATGTAATAAAAGTGTTTCAGTGCATCAAGTATGAATAACTAATATAATCAGGGTGATATATTTATCTTACAATTATATATGCCGTTGGTACTACAAGAAAATGTTTGTCTGTTGAATGTATATTGTCTTACATTTATATAGGGCAAAAAATTTATAAGGTATTCTAAATACAGACTTACGCGAATAGCTTCCAATACAATGGAACACAAATAATTTGATATAATCTAAGAAAGCCTTTACCGTGTATTTCAAGTAACACAGGACTGTCCAACAACGCAAAAGTAACGCCGAATGCCTTTTGCCAAACTACTAGCAGTATTTAAAAAATATAATTCTGTTTACTTTTTTATAAGTGGCGTTACATTTGCACAATTCCTGTGTTATTTGCACATTACTGCGTTACTTCTGCACAATTCCTGCGTTATTTGCATATTTCTGCGTTCCTGGATATACACTGTGACCTTGATGAAAATGATTTCTCTGTAAAGAAACACAAACATTTACAAACTTCTATTTTAATCATATTATTAACAATACAATTTACATTTTATGTTGATTTTTCCAAGTTCAGGTAGGCGAGAATCAATGCAATGTTAAATGGTTCACTTTTGTTATTAAAAAAAATATAGATTTAAACTGACGTAATACAAATTCATTTACAAATATTTATTTGTTCATATCTAATTGACAGCAGTATATTTACCATTAACGTGACGTTTTTCTACTATCAGATATAACATGAAGACAAATACGTTCACAATGGCTGCCATTAAACAATGTGAAGAAAATGGCGGTGAAATTAGAAATATAAATAATAAGAGTAAATTCGTACCAGGACGTAACAAATGATTCACAATATTCAATTTTGTTTGCGAGATAATGGAGGTATCAATATTGTCGTCGCACTTGTCACAAACATCCAACCTTTAAAGGTACATGCAATCCTAGCAGCATTTTTCCCACTATGTAAAATTACAGGTTTCCCTGACTAATGTGAAGAAACGTTTTATTTTTAGATCAAGATATTATGACTTGCTGCAAATGTTTTATACCTTGTTTTTTAATGATGATGATGCTGATGATGATAATAATAGTAATAATGATGATGATGATGATGATGATGATGATAATGGTAATAATAATAATAATAATATTAATACTATTATTATTATTATTATTATTGATGATGACGATGATGATGATGATGATGATGATGATGATGATGATGATGATGATGATGATGATGATGATGATGATGATGATGATGATGATGATGATGATGATGATGATGATGATGTATAAGTATAATGCTCATCGTATTGTTTTGAGATAAAGAAAATATACATACATATATATCAATTCCTTTATATTGACAATGATTTAAGAATGAAACTAAAACCTTAAGATATGCTACTAGACTAGACCTGATAAAGGGTTTTATTTTCTTATTACATTTCAACCTTTGGGTCTAATTTGATCATTTACCTTATTAAAATGACGTCTGGTTGATAGATAATGAATATTTACCAGCTTCATTTTTTTTCAATTGCTGTTGATATTATCTTTTTTTCTCTCAGTTTAATATAGATCACAAATTGATAGTTTATTGATCATTACCCGTTGTTTTATAACAAAATTCTACAATCAATATTTGTGTACGTAATGACCAATATATTTCGTAATTAATTAATGGCCAATAGTAATTGTACTAAATGACCAAACACCTTCCTCCTTTTGATGTGAATTTAACGGAAGTTAATCATTGCAATAATATATACATGAGTATTTATATCAAATAGATATATTTTAATTTTTGATAATAAAAATTATGCCGGATAGGAAGTTGGCAAAGGCAAAATCATTTTCGGTTTACCACATGGTAGGGTTAAGTGGTCTAACGATTTTTAAGCTAAAAGTACGTACGTAGATGGGAACTAAACTGATAAAAACTATTGTAAGATGAGACACAAAGTTAAAATTGGTTCAAAATATTTGCTCATGTAATTCACTGAACAAAGATCTATTATCGTATTGTTTACTTAATATCTCTGAAATTTACATGCGAAATTATGGGTTTTGAGCAAGTAAACAAAACAAAGTTTCATAAATACACGATGACTTATTGTGTGTATCAACTTATTCTCAATACAAAATAAAAACATTATTTCAGACTGACATACTTTTTCAAAGTACATGTACGTAAATATGTCGGTTTGACAATTTATACGCATGCTTGTCGAATTATTTTTTTTGTTTTGTTTTTCAGTTGATTTTTAGTTTCTTTTCTTTTAAACATGTTATATGTTATGATATACAAATGAGCCGCGTCACGACAAAACCAACATGGTGCGTTTGCAGATCAGGATCCATGCTGTTCGCTATCAGTTTCTCTACTTGCTATAGGGTTTGTAAGCGAACAGCATGGATCCTGATCAGACTGCGCGATTGATTTGTCAATGATTGAGTAATGTGTGCACTTTGGTTAATTATTCTTATTACAATTGATATTATTTATTGGCTGTCACGTGCTATCGTTACAACCAATGAACATCAGCTGTACTTGGCCCTTTGACATTTAGAAACCTGAATCATCAGATGTTGCATCTTTCATAAGAATTCATTATTTTTGCCTATCACTTATAGACTGTAGCATCAAACGACCATCATTTTCTATGTGTGAAGTTGGCACCCTAGCAGCCAACGGCCTAGCGATGCGAAGTTGACGGCCTAGCGACCCAGCGGCCTGGCGGCGTGAAGTTGGTGGCCTAACGGCCCCGTAGCCTATCCGTCAGAATTTAAAGTGTTGTAAAAGTTTGTCAAAGACATTATTTTAACGACTCTTAATTACTTGATTTATCAACCTTGTCTTTTTAGAATTATATAACGACGTCCTTAAATAACGAGATTTGATGTTCTTCGTTTTGAGGCTCTGAAAGATAATACATTTCAAAAGTTCATGGTTAAGATGTGTCATTGTTTATCATTTTTAAATCGTTGTTGTTTATGCAGTTGCACGATAGGATCTGTGTTTTATAACCGTAACAAAGAAATGATGGATAATTACGTTTAATTATCCAATTATATGTTTCTATTTGTGCTATTCTGGTACTCGTGCGTAGATGAGACCACGTGTCGATGATGCTATATACAGATTGTTATTATTGCTGTTGATGTCTCTTGTTTTTTTTGTTTTTCTTTTTGTATGATGCAACATTTAAAATGCTTCATGTAGAAGCAGCAAACTTATATAATTATAAAATGATGTAAAATTACGGTTAAAGACAAATTTTGAAGTCTGCAATGCTTGTGAAAAATATCAATAACTTGACAATGAATACGCCGAGGTAAGACATGAGAGGGTTTCGTGCAATAACATCTGCAGACACACGGACCAGAGCTCGCAGGGTGAGGGATTTAATACAGTTTGAGGGTTTCTGCAGATATTTATCCACGAAAAAAGATATGTTAGAGCAATTTCTGCTATATTTCGCGTTTCGTTTCGTATTTGTTTTTCGTGTAAAGAAACTGATTTCGTAATACTTTGACGCGCGACTGTAATATGTTTTGGAAATAAAATTACCGAGCCCGTCAATATCGTCAGCTATATTTACGTTGGTCACTATATCACGCATATTATTAAACATTCAAATAATGGCCCGTGCTTGCTTGATTTTAAAGGATTCATTGACCTTTTTCGTGCATTAGCATCTGCAGAAGCACGAGGGCGCCGCATTTTAGGTCCGAGTCCGTAGGTCAAGAGTTTCAAGTCCGACTGCTTCTGCTTCTGTAAATGCACGAAAAATAGGTGCATTTTAAAAGTACAAATGTATACGTCTTAATCGGTGATTGCGCGTTTCGTTATCTGCATTTTGTATCAAGACCCTTTGTTAGAGTCATGCTTTCCACGTGTTTATGCAAATTAAAAGTTATCCATATAAAAATGTGCAACTACGGCATTTTTTGTGAAGTTTTCATGCAATAATTCTGTTAAATATTCTTGAAAACAATATCAGATATGTAGACAAAATCAAGATAGTAACCAAGATTTTAATGCAGAGACAATCTTCTTTTTTCACTAGAATGTCGTTCGTATATCTTTCACAGCATCTTCATAACCTACATGTATGTATGCATTTTGAATAATTATAGTGGTTCATCTTTAAAAAGAAATGCCGATCAGACTAAGGGACATAAATGCCTCTTGACTCCATCAGAAAGTGTCAATTGATTTATGTCCCTTCAAAACCAGTATTCACTATACGTATGGGAGAAGATGATGGTTATATAACCCATATTTGATGTCTCAAATTTGGATGCGGCCCTAACATTAAAACATACACATGGCATAATACGGGGTGTCAACCAATCGAGATCAATTTGGGCACGTTAAGTCTATTTAAAAGTGTGTTATTATGTGGATTCCACAATATTATCTTCTCCTCATTTACGTGCACGCCGTTGAGAAGGAACAGGGCATCGGAGTATGAATAAAGAACCCATGCAACGTGCAAGACGGCCAACGTTTGCAGACTCTCTACAAATAGGGCTTACGTTTAAAGTTGGAAGTTAGTGTGGGAGTCCTGACTAAAGCCTTCAAAATCAACCCTTCAAGGGAATGACTGGTGACATATCCACGGTCCGTACTGGACAGCGAAAGCTGCTTTTTGTGCCTTAGCGGACGGATGGATCCTCATTAACCATAGACCATATACATACACACAATTTCACGAAATTGGTATTTAAAGTTCAGTCACGTTTCTAAACAAGTACGTGTAATGTGACTTCTCTTACCAATATGTTTAGGTTTTTTTTCGCGAAAAGGTAAGGATAAGAGGATAAAAACGCCGGCAGTAGTTCCCTACTGGGTTATTCTTTTCATTTCTTTGATCATGACGACAAATTTTCCTTGAATTTCTATCTTTAACATTCACGTTACATATCATAAACCATAAATCTCATTTTATTAGATTAAAAGAGCCCCCTTAGTGCCCATTCGGGCTGAGAGACTGCACTTGGAGCTTGGAGTCCCTTTAAAAATGTTTGAAAAATTATTTACTGCAAAAAGATATCATAAACGTACAAATGTATATAAATCCAGATCAATAATTTTGCTGAAAGTGAAAACGAAATTAACGTTTATCGCATCAAGATCTTTTTAAGAAGATCATGGCAATTACGGTTTACTTCCATAGAAAAAAGTAAAATGTTGATACAAATTCACTGTCAGTTTGAGTCTTTCCTATTCTTTAAGGACTTTCCATATGGATGGATATCCTCCGTAATAAAGACGTACTCAAAATGTATATACTTCATTCGCACGAGAAGAATGAAGTTCAGCGGGACCAGTAATAATAATAATTATAATGAATGAACACGAAGTAAAAAAAAACGAAAACGCAAATTTCTTGAGGACGAAATCTCGAAAGTACAAACTTTTTAAGACGAAAACTCGAAACCACTTAAAGGTCAATTATGCCTAAGAATTGCTTTTATTTTTATTTCTCAAAAGCTTTTTTAATTTTTGGTGTACTTTTATAGTATCCAAAAAGTTACTCATTGGCTAATTACCTGAATCTCTTGCGTTTTGTCAATAAGTATATACACTTATAGTATTTTGTATGAAAGTAAAAATACTACTTGATTTACATTTTGCTACTTTTGTGACAAGTTATTTCATATTTATCGCTACTTTCTTCGACAGGTAACAAGAATCTTATATTCTCTAAAACTATTATTTATAAAGAAGTTATCTAAAGAAGTTAAAATCCAGCCACTTTGTTTCTGAGGCATAATGTGACTTTAAGTACGATGACGAAAAATAATACGATGGCAAAGAGACTAATAATTGTTTCACGTTTTCGTCATTGTGTCTACGTATCATTCTGATACTTGTGACTACTGATTCTTTGGGCTGCTAAATCTAGACTCTAGAAACAGGTAGCTACACGAATTTAAATTACTACTTTAGAGTTTATAGTTGAAAGGTTAGTTTAATGTTGTGTAAGGATAGAACTTATGTGTTACACCGTTATGACATTATAATTCTAATTGAATATCATCCCCACACATTTATTCAAAATAAAAAAAAAATGATTTCATTGTATTGTTTAAGACTTCTTAACAATACAATATATATAGATACAGAATATTGACAACTCATAAATGATTTTAATCTGTCTTTGCTCTAATTTCCATAATTGAAAGCAATTGCAATGTTTGGTAAAGTAGGTCTCCTGTCAAACCGTTTTCCTTGCGGAATAGGACTCTCCTTGACCGGAAGTTTCGGGATCGTGGCAATAGATGCCCGTCTTTTAGGCCTAACAATTAAATCTTCAACCTCAATATCTTCAATTGGTTCCTCTTTGATCGTTACTGATTTTCGTCTTGTTGTTATATCATTTAATTCATGCACGTTGTCGTTTGCTTCCGGTTCGTCGTTTACGTCACTTCCGTCTGATTTCTGTTCATCTTCTTCAACAGCTGTTAAGGCAAGATGTAATGACCGTAACTTTGTGAACTCTGCAAGATTTATAGATCCGGTCGAACCGCGTCGTTTGCTTAACGAATGTTTACTATGTCCAGTCACGTCTGAAAATCTCCGTCGAGTTATATCTAAATTTAGCTTTCCTAATGCTAATAGTGCTTCTTCTTCGGTCATTTGTTCGTCGTTTTCAAAGGAGACAGCATCTGTAACGCTTTCGGAATTAGCAGGAGTTCCTGGCTTTGAATGCTGTTTACCATGATCAGATGTGTAATTTTTAATTCCAAGTTTGTTATATTCGTTCATGTAAGACTTATGTAGGCTTCGATATTTACGGTCTAACCTTTCTCGTTCACGCTCCTTCCAAGTTGCATACCTGATTCGAAAACAATATTACATTTTATAAGCATTGCGTATTATCAGATTGAAAAGAAATTGCCGAGATGTGTTAATTTTATTCTACACCTTAATGTGAGGTTAAGTCTGCAAGATGAAATTGCTGGCCCAAAGAAGTACCTATGGAATTCTCAGCCAATATGTCAAAATCGTCAATTCGTTAAAAAAATCCCCTAAAAATCTATAAAAAGCACGTATTTCTTCTAGGAATTTGCTACATGAACTAGGGTTACAGCCAGGGCTTCTTAAAAGTACATACGTTGCTCTATTTATTTTTTAAATGTCCTTCTTGTTCAAACTTTAATCATGTATATATAAAAAGTCATTTGATATAATAATTTATATAAAAAAATTAAGAAATACATTTACTTTGCCTGAGACTTTTCCAGGTATTCATCAGCAGACGGTGTCTTTTTTGAAAACTTATCATCAAAGTCTTTATGTACGGACGCCTGGGCGTAATGGTAACTCTTCCGCCTGACAGCTTTATGTTTGTCCACCATGTCGTTCTGTATTGCTAACTTCCGGTCCTCCATTTTATTTCTCCTCCAAATCTTCATATCATTGCTAAGGCTACTGTCACTAAAACTGGAACGTTTGAGATGAGGTTTCGAACTCATCTTTTACGTTTAGGTCTCCAAGCGTTATGTAGACTTAGAAGTAAAATTATATTACATTAGTCAGTTTTTCAGATTATCTGCGTAGTTTAGACATGAAAAATCAACTCCAATATGAATATCCGTCACATGTTAGCTAACATGAAGCTTTCAACGTCATAAAGTGAAAGTTATATCATTCCGTTATATGAATATTTACGACAAGGAAGATATGAGAATTATAGTTTTTTGTAAGTATTTTCTCTAAAGCGACCTCCTGAAGCTTCCCTCACTGGTTTACAATATTTTGAAATACATTATTAATAACACGCGACAATTCTCTTTCAGCGTCTATAACTTATAAACAGACTCAACAATATTCATCACTGCAAAAATAAATTTAAGAACGCGCCGAGTGTGAAAATCTTTTAAGGTATTTAAAGTAGTTTACTAAAACAAACGGTATGTAAAAACAGCTCATTATCAGTAGCTAATTTATAAAAGTTGATAATTATAACATGAATATAAATGAGATAATATAACTCATAAAATCCTATTTTCCTATACATTTAAAAGGTCATAATTTGTGAAATATCATAACTTAAAAGGGAACTTATTCACAGTTCTGTGTGCGCAACCTTAAACTTTGCACCAGCTACAAATCGTACGGATGATTTACACGAATTGAATGATTTTGAAAGAGTTTCTTTAAGAAAGTTCGATCACGTGTAAATTTTTATGAATAAATGTACATAAAAAGCGATTTATGAGAGATGATTTTAATTTAGAATTACGATACTCACTGATGCATGTGTAGATAAGGATTAGCATGTTTCAAGTTTCCTATGAAATGATTTGAACTTTGCTGTATATGTTCAATATCATGAATTGCATAAAATAAATTTATTTTTGGGAAGACATATTGTACATTATCAAAATGAGTGTTGTACAGTTAATGATAAAGATTACATCTAATTGTTACAACCATATATTTCATTGTATATTTGAAAAACAAAAAGAATGTCACCCTTCTTTTCATTTTATTTTGTGAAATATTTGTCCAATTGTAAAAACATCAACATTTAAAACTATAAAATTTGAGGCTTAAAAAAAACGCAGAAACGATTTATTGACCAGTTGACCGATATCTACTAGCCTAAACAAATCCTTGGAATGCGATTGCAGAAATAAAAGTTTTTAAATGAGCTGGCCATTTCTTTTATGTAGAATATCAATTTCATAAAGTCTCTTTCAATTTTTCAATATTTATATTCCCTCTTTTTAAATCAGATAAATTTGAAATATGAATATTTAGCAATAATGTAGAGAAACGGTGACGCACGAGCTAGGAAATATTTTTTTAAATATGATACCCTAGTAAATATTTCACATTCCATGTTACGAGTCACGATTCTGATTAAATATTTATAATTCCCATTCTCCAAGAAATACTTTTGACATTAAAGAAAAGAATATCTCGAGTTCATTACCATAGAGAAAAATAGTACAAAGCACCAACAGAGTGACAGAGAAAATTCAGTCAGGGAAAGAAGAAAAGACATAATACACTGTTAACTTTGACCTCAACCGGGTTCTTTGATTGAACTAACAAACATTTGATAACTTTCTTATATGAAAATATCCAGAATATATGAAAGTGATTCGGTGAACGTAACCATTTGGTCATGGAGGCAAAGAAAGAAGCACTTCAATACTATCCTTTTAAATCTATACTGTAAGTACGAAACAATGAATCAGAAAAAGAAAACAACACACATTTTACAATCATATACTTTATTATTATTAAGCACTTTCAGGCATTGATATACACATAGAAACAGTTCAGATCCCACACCACCAGCAATTGGAATCTGGAGCAAGGTCCCCTAAAACGGAGCAAGGCATATATTTGGTATTTACCACATTATCCAACTGTCATACAGTTGTACGGCATTAAAGTTAAAATCTCTATTGTGTATTGGAACGGTCATTTTTACGCAGTCTAAGTTAGCATAACTGTATTTGTCCGGAAGACTGAAAACTGTCTTCCACTTCCGGGTCTTTGCGCTGTAAAAATCAACTTCCGTTACCTCGCGATCTTTTTGAAAACTTTTCCCGCCAAAAAGATATATTCGTTTTCCTGCAAAATAAAATGAACAAAGATCTACTTTATGATAGTGTTCACTGCATATTTCAGTAAATCAAATAACATTCTAGGTTTATGTCACTGTTCTATCTTTCTAACATTCGAAATAATTGGACGCTAAGTCTTTACAAAACCAATTACAGTCTTTATATGAAAATCAAATAGTTCACTTTAAAAATTTGAAAAGAGAAAAAAAAGAACTATTTAATAAAATTATTATTTTCTGTTCGTGTCTCAATAATAAACAGCCCGTCAACTTTCGGTCAACTTCGTATTTTGTTTTGCTTATTTAAAAAAAAAGCGACGATTTGATTGAGATTGAGATTGCGTACTGACGAAATATACCGAACTTTCGCGATCTGCTGATGTAATAACTGTTTAGTATAAGCACATACCTAACTGAATGTATGCAGGGTTCACTCTTGTATGAAACATGGTTGGGTGATCCACATCAAAAGCTTTTGGTCTCTTGAGTTCACCATCAAATTTGGTACAATAACTACAAACGTGTCCCTCATCTTTCTCCGCAAATACTTCTTGATCGAACCCACGACCTGGAAAATAGCATTTCTTAAGTTAGGCTTAGGACACTATCCAATATGGTACCTAAAATCACTAGTACGATAAGGTTTCCACGGTGAAATGTTCAGTGTTGTAAAAGTATATAACACGTTTGCGAGGTCTGTTAAGTCAATTGTTTACAAGTAATTGCATGCATGGATTTAAATATGCCAGCTGTAAGCTGTGTATATATACATGTATATATAATATATAACACAAGAATAAGCATTACCTGCCATGACATAAATGTCATTTTTTATAGGCACCATGATATGTTTTTCTCTCTCGTGTGGCAATATCAGATCTGGACAAGGATCTGACCACTGGTCAGTCAGCAGGTCATAAACCCTGAAATTATATATACCATATACAGTACTGTAAGAATAACCATGTTTTCATAGTAGTCTCCCTTTCACCGCTATACATGTGTACTTATCTATGTCACACTCATAACTTTGAATATTCCATTTTACTTGGATGTAAAAATCCGCATTAATGGACATTCCGAAATGCGGCAGTGACTTGAGTAGACTATAATATTACTGAGAGTAAAAGTTGATAATTATAATAAAATACATTTTTCATTGATCAAGTTCAAGCATATGATCGCATTCCTAACATGCAGTTTTGGAATTAGCAATATATTCATGAGACCACGATCATATAAACCTGAATGAGGTTTTCAATTTTAGATTACCAAAATGACACTGTCATTCATTTAAATATGACCAGTTGGAATCTAGCTAATGATTCATAAAAAGGTGAAAATTGTTCTAAAGTCAATTTCATTATTTTGAAAATTCTATATTATGTCTAAAATTAATATTTATAAAAGGTAAATCATCTAATCATTCTCATAAAGTAGTGTGAATTATTCCAGCACTAAAACCTTGATATGCAGAAAGCTTTTAAATTAGAAGAACTTTTTGACATTTCACATTCTTTTTTATCGATATCAAATTATTTCAGTTTATAATGAACCCAATAGAACTGATTAGCTATTTTTGACGTCATCTATATACAATGATAAAGGAGCTCAACTGAGGTCAAAAAAATTAAAAACATAAGATTTGAAATTCTTACAAGTGATGCACGAAATGGAAGGAAAATTCTACAAAAGATAATAAAGAAATACATGTATACGCAAAGGTAAATTGAAAATTGATTTTTTTGGACGATTCTTAGCCGAATTTTATTAAAAAGTATTTTGCAACATTTAATTTTTGGGTCATTTTGCACATCTTAAACTTTTCACATAAATTATTGGCCAAAACCTGCATCAAAAATCTTTAAAAAAAAACAAACAAAAAAAAAACACCCTGGGCTGAATGTCAAAGGGAAATAATGCCACGTATTTACCGATGGCTGACAAAAAGTTGTTACTTCCCTTTAACTAATATTTGTACACGTCATACGCCACCGATAGGAGTCATCTACTGCAAAATTGATGACACGTATCCACTTAACGGTTGTTATACAAGCTTTAGAAATTGTCACTATCATTTTATGAATTCATTAATCGTGTCCTTGGGATAAATGTGATACTATATGGAACGCCGGTCGAACCAATTCCAAATAAAAAATGAGATATCTTGAAATTTCAACTCTATGAGAGGCTATAATTACAGGAAGTGACGAGGATAATATTCTAATCAGCCTTTAAAGGTTCACTGAACTTCCCCTTGAAAAAAAAATAAATGGATGATGTATCTTCTCCATTAGCCACATACATAGCAATGTGGTCTTCTAATTTCATCTGAACAGCATTTTATAGTGGTGGACGCAGTTTCATTAGATTGGTTTAGTAAAAACAGTTAATTGTGTCCTTTTATTTTATTTTGAAGCGTTAAAACCACTACACGCTAAATGCCTATTTTTTTTTTATATTCAGTTATATGACAGATAGAATGAAATTGATCGTAAAAAAATGTGACATTAAAATGAAATGAAAGTTGACAATTGAAAATATTTGAAGGCTGAAATTTTTTGTGAGCAATCCTTTATTTAAAATGTAGTCAATATTAATTTATGTTAGCTCGACAGAGTTGAAAATTGGAAAATATACAATCACTCTCGGGTCCGGTCCCTAGACTAACCAATATTTCTTTCATACAAGGCATCACATTTGTTACCCAAGTAGATCTTTAACTCACAACCCTTGTGTTCATAAACATACACCTAAACTACTTAGCCATCTGTCCCCTAAATATATTTACAGTATCCCGAAGTTCAAAACTAGCTCGATATTCACTTTAAACTGAATTTCGATCTTCGATGTCAGTGCTAACTTCTTGATACTTATAACCGGTGCCGGTTCCAAATGGGCCAGGGACTTTGAATTCTTTCATGTAAGGAAGCTTTCCAGCAAGCTTACGGAACGTCGGTGGTTCTACACAGATGCCTTTTTTTTACCTGAAATGTACGGATCGAGGGGCTCCTGAGGTTTTAAATCACAAGTAAAGCTGAGAAGTAGCCAAAAGATCATTATAGTGCCCCCACCATATTTAATTGCATGGCATGATATAACATTTACGACAGCATATACTTTTTAAAGTCTAGGAAAATAAATTGCCCGTATTTCTAGCGCAATTGTTCTGTCCCCTATAATTATGTTTTTTTACATCAACTCTAATGGTTAATAATGTGCTTAGTGTAAGAAATATTAAACTTAATACCACATTAATCACGACCTTAAATTTCTTATTTCTTTCTTTCTACAAAATTAATCAAGATAATTTGGAGATAATGGTTATTAAATAAAATTTGCATTTTAAATTTGCACATTAAGTTTATCAAAATGTCATGACCTACATATCATTCTCTCTTAAATGCTTCTTAAAATATCAGAACTTTAATTAAAACTATTAAAGTTTATACAGGATATGAAATATCAAACAATTCAACGACGTAAGTCATAAATGCACGGTCATATTCATAAATATATTTTCTGATCATGTTTATATGAGTATGCTATATTAAACCACACAATCTATATCATTATCTCCGCAATTAATGCCTATCAATTATAACATGGCCTCTAGGAAAACCCGCTCTCTCCGTTCTATATTATGATGCTAATTTTTAATGGAAAAAATGCGCCAACCGGTTCCCTAAACGTGTTTCTTCATTAATCATACCTTATCTAAAGTCAATAACTAAACCATACCCGTGAGTATGAATATAAACTGTTATATGGTGAAACATTTATTAATTCAGTTTTGAACTGCGCTTCGGTGAGTCATGACGCCATGTTGGCATTATGAGTCATGTGACTACGATTGGCGATCACGTGGTCTCGCCATCTTTTGTCATTTCATACTACAGAAAATGTGCGAACTGTTATTTGATATACAAAACCGTTTTTACGCAAGAGATATTACTTTTGAAGCTCCGTAATAATTTGACGCTGACACGAATGGACATCAAAGCCTTTTTAGAAATAGAAAAACAAAGCCTTATTAAAAGTTATTAGTTCAGTTAATTAATAAGCAAACATGTGCGCAAAAAACGTCCATTTTCTCTGTGTACATTGTGATATTGTTCTTCAATCAGTGTTTGTTCATTTATCATGTAAAATACACTGCATTGATTAAAAGGTATAGTTGAAAATGAACACCTGGTTCATTTGAAGTAAAAAAGGGGGTTTTATCTTTTGAATATGAAAGGTATTAGTTTTGCATATATTCTGCATGACAAATGTGATTGATGAAAAGCGGCTCTTTGATGATCTAACGTTAATGCCTAACTATTCAAATGCATATTCATTGTTAAATAGAATAAACAAATGTTTGATATATTAATGAAAACAATTTTGCATTTAGAATTAAACAATGGTTTAAACAGTTGTTGAAATTGTCTTTATACATTGACAAATTGTATTTTTCTAATTAATGGCATATTATTTAACGCGAGTTACTCATATTTCAAGTTGGGTGTCCGCTGCGATGACGCAAAGTCACGATGGCACCTGTTTTGTTAAAATAAAACTAGATCGACTTATATTATCAAACCATTTCAAAAATGTTGAGACCAATCCATAAATCACGATATATGTTCATAACATTTATGTGGGGAAATATTATTAAACATCGCCCAATAAACGGGCAGTCTCTCCATCCGTCCCGACAGGCAATACTTGACTTCCGGTTACAGGAACAGGCTAAATGAACATTAAACTCCAATTATGAGAACAGTTTGCTGCATTTAATTATATTTGCTATAGAGATAACATCAGTCGTGTTTTATTTCATGCTTTCATTAACACGTGCAATGAAATATTACCCGGTTGTAAAATAATCAACTCTTTACTGTAAATACGCTTTCGATTTTCCTCCTACCTTTTTATAACTTTTTTGATTGCTCAACTATTTTTTTGTGTAAAATGATGCTCATCAAATATAATGAAATTGTATCTGTTTGCCAATAAAGGAATAAATTCTTCAAAACTTATGACGTCACTATGTGTGGTTTATGAGTAAACTTTATTTTCATAAGTCCATTTTAAGGACTAATTCTTAATAATCATGGACAGTAAGGCGAGAGTTAATTAAAGCGATTACCGTGTCTGTGGTTACAATTATCTAAATTTAGTTATTATACTACGTTTAACTCCTGGTTAGTGGACTCTCAGCCCGAGATGAGAAAATGACAGTGTTCATGGAAAGTCTGAATGTTGAGTCATTACATGTATTATAGATGGCCCTTAAAATCAATCGGATTTCTGCAATTAAGTCATTAAATCGCCGAGAACGGTCACTCACATTTTCCCCAGACCTTTGATCTAGCCGCTTCTGTATCACTACGCCACACCGACCAATCAAACACGTTCAATATTTTATGACGGAGTTATGAGTCGCGCGTCCTTCGGGTGAAGAAAAACGTGCGCGAAACAATGATTCCTGAAATCCTGTAAAAAGGAGCTGATTTTAAACGCGCCAAAGTGAGTCACATATGTGACTCATGTTTCAAACGCGGTCAGCTGTCTTAAATAAAAATTAATTAGAAAGAAAACAATTAAGACATTCTATCTTAATTGATGTAATTGGTAAATGGGTCTTAATGATTTCTCTCCGCTCCCGGGACACTTAAAAACTAAAAATGTCCTAAAACGTATTATTTCTGGCTCGTCGAAATTTTACTGCTTGGTTCTTATCCGAATGATATTTGAAGAAACACACTTTACTTCACCGAATTAATGGATATCTAGGACAGTTGAGTGAAATAAATTTCGAAAGAAAATATAAATTTTGTTTGAACTTTGATAAAATGTTGAATTCGTGACCAAAATTAACACTCAAAGAAATTAACAAATGAGTGTATTTTAAAGTTATTATACCAGACACTTTCATAAACATTTTTGAAAATTTCGTTTAGGTTGATAAGAACGAGTGTTAAATTGTACAAGTATTTATATCATGATAAATAATTAGATGTAAAACCAATAAGACTGATTATAAGAGAATTTGTTTAGTACACTTAGAGAGAATTAAAGATTAAAAAATACCTGTCAAAGTTTTATTTAAAAAAAGTCTCTTTATTTAATATTTTGCCTGTTTATTATACATTGTACATTGTATTTAGACCATTTTATTCCATTGATTTATATGACGTTTTCTGCATTCTGTAACACCAGACTATAATCATATCTTGTAGTCATTCTATACATTAAAGGCACATTATGCCTCAGAAATTAACACATTTTTCTTTCTTTTAACAAGAAAACGTGCGTTTTATTATGTTTAAATAATAGTTTATGAGCATATTAGATGCTTATCATAAGAAAAAAATAGCACTGAATGTGACATTATTTGTAATAAAAGTAACAAAATGTAGACAAAGTAGTATTTTGACTGCCATACAAAATACTTAATCACTAAAACTGATGTAGTTGCAAAAAAGCAACAGAAAATAGAAGGCTTAGGTAGTTGGCCAATGGGTAATGTATGGAAACTATTAACAGGACAACACAAAAGCTTTTGAGAAATAAAGATGAAACCTTTTCTGGGGCATAATGGGCCTTTACCTTTTTGTAAAAACAAAATTTTCTCTTTATCTTATACCTGAAGGTACTCTTTACCTAATACGTAAATGTACTCTTTATCTAATACGTAAATGCACTCTTTACCTAATTCCTAAAACAATGTACTTTTTTTTATCTTATACCTAACTGTACTCTTTACCTTATATGTAAATGTATTCTTTACCTAATGCGTAAATGTATTCTACCTTAGGTAAATGTAATCTTTACGTAATACGTAAATATACTCTTTACCTTAAACGTAAATGCCGGTAATGTACTGAGTAAAAATCACAGACAAATAACTTTATTAATTCTAAAGAATTATCATAATTAAACAAACTTCAACATTTTTTCCTCAATAATCTATAGAAACTGATTCCACGATAATTTTTTTCATTCCTTTTATTCTTTATTTATTCACTTCCCGTGATTATAAAGCAACAATGTCGACATTGTAAGTAACTGCTTTATATAAGTTATGGTGAGATATATAAATAAGCCTATTTTGAAAAAAATAATATAAATAAAACAATAAATACACCATTGCTGTTTCATGTATATAATTGTGCAGCAAGAGTTAAATTATATTTTTAAACATAATGTTTAACTTACCAGAAAACATTCGAGCACTGGTGCTTGATGTTCGAAATACCACCGGACACGTAGAGTCTTGTACCTCCGACCACGCAACTGGCATGGTCAACTCTTGGACGTGGTAGGCTTTTTATTGGTGTCCAGGTGTCCGTGCCGGGATCATAGAATTCGACGGTCCTCGTCACTTTCCCGCCTTTGACTTCACCGCCTGTAATATAGTTTTATTGTCGTAATATGTTTTTGTACGTATGACAAAACCATGAGGTTATATGTAAAAAAATGTGTTTTTTTAATCATTGAAAAATGATGGAATGCAACATTAGCAATTGTCCTGTTTTGTTATTATATAAGTGTTAAAAGAGTTTGATTCAGTATAAAATATCTTGGTGGCCATAGACTTTATACTAGTCAGCACATCCATTACTAATAAAATCTAGCCGTTATAAAAAACCAGCGGGTTTTTTGTTGATGTTTTTTGTATATAAGATGAGCACCATGTTGCTCTTGTATGTATGTACTTGTTATAATGTTATCTTCGTCAGTATATTCATTTTAGCAATCTTAAAAATGTGTTTTACTCGTTATTTTAACCTACTTTTAATGTAACAGAGCACTAGGAACAAGTGGTATTTCACGTTATGTCAATTGTTAATTGTGTCTAAAAGCATTGCTATGCTTAATTTCTAAATAGATGTTGTTTTTGTTTTCGTTGTGTTGTTGTCGTCGTCGTCGTATTTCATACAGACTGAAGTACATTTGATTAAAAAAATGACATAAATTAAAGTACTTTTGCTTATGTAAACTATGATATCAAGACTTAGAGGAGGCCAACCGGAAATAGTCCGCATAATCAGACTGCCATTTAAAGGTTCACATATGACGTTTAATTTTGTTTACTGGGATCTTAGTTCAATGTTGCATTATTATGTGTACATGTTTCATAATATGTGTACATGCACAAACGAATGTATCTTCTATGCATTTATGAATGTCTTTTGCTGCAATGTTTTGGCATTGTTCTTGAGAATTTTGAAGAATTTCAAAATATTTTTTCAATTCGACGCACAGTTACTTCGTGTAATTAAAATTACATTAACATAACTAACAGATTAGCATAACGGAAAGCTTGAGTTTAGCCGTTACATTGCTGGAACCAAATGTGATATTATTCCACTAGTGTAGAGCCCGGACAGCCTGCCCATTTGTGCAGTCCAACTAACCTCTTGTTATAAGCTGTGTCATGACAAAACCAACATAGTGCGTTTGCGACCAGCATGGATCCAGACCAGCCTGCGCATCCGCGCAGTCTGATCAGGATCCATGCTGTTCGCTTACAAACCCTATTACAAGTAGAGAAACTGATAGCGAACAGCATGGATTCTGATCAGACTGCGCGGATGCGCAGGCTTTTCTGGATCAATGCTGGTCGCAAAACCCATTATGTTGGTTTTGTCATGACACGGCTCATTTTAATGAACACTAAGAAAGAGTGTGGTTTTATAGCTTTATTTTCCCGAAAGAAAAAAATAGTATAAGAACAAAAGAACTATCTATTTATACATTAAAAATATCTAAAAATTGTACTACACATTTGATATTTCATCGATGATATCTCATCGATGAAAATTATTGAAAAGTTTTGTGTTTTGTTGATGTTTTTGTTTGTTTGTTTGTTTGTTGTTGTTTATTTTTCTTACTTTTTATACTGTTTAGAACTTGGAGTCGAGATAGTTACACAATAAAAACTAAAGTTCATGAGAATAAATAGGAAATAGTTAAATGACGGGATAAACAGATTTGCCGTTGGCTCCACAGCCAAATCGATTACTGGTCCAGTTATCGGAACGGAAACTGTCGTTCTCAACAAATATTTACATCAACTTAATAATTGTTTCATAAAGCAGCATGTTGATTTGATCAAATGTTTCCTATCACAAAGAAAAAAATCTAAACCGATGAGTTTTTAATCGACAAGTCAAGTGGCCGATTTCAGTAATTGAAAATATAAACGAGCATTCACGGGCCAATCACCAAATAGCGGAAGAATATAGAATTCCAATAGTTCATATGATAGTGCGGAAAACAAGTGGCGCTTTAAGGAAAAGAGAAAACAATTTTTTATTATGGTTGATGCCTTGATAAAATCGGTTTGTAAAACATACATTAGAGACTTGTATGTTTTATCATCATCAAAGAAACATCTAAATTTGAAGCAAATGGACAATCTGGATAGTGTTAATATTGTTTTACTCTTGAGTGACTCACAAAGCTATGTTTCTGCTAATAATGTATGTATTGATCATTGCTGATAATTATTTCCTATGTAAGGTTGTTATCAGCGTTAAATATCATACATGCCGTTCATTTTCACATTTAAATGTTAGTCATCTTCATTTGCAAATACCGTTCCCTAAAAACATGAAAGCCGTAGGATTGTAGTTTACTCTAAAGCGCTCGATCCTTTTTTATACATTTTACTCAGATTGGAAGACCGCCATTAATAGATGAAAATATTTGATCTAACCAAATTTGACTATAAACATGATAGTGAAGAACTTTCCCCTGACTCGGAATATGATTGTACGGGGGAAGCTCTCAGGACTTTACACATTTGATCCTATTATTATATTTGAATGAGAGTGCATCCATTAATCCTGTTAAAACCCTTTAATTCAACAAAATTTGCTTTTATCTGCACACGTTAAATCAGTTTAATTACATGCATAAAAACAAAAAGGGCTTGTTTTAGTTTTTTGCTGCGAGAAATCTTCAAACAACGATATGTTAAGCCAGAGACATAGATAACATCTATGTTGTTAAGCATTACTTTCATGTACATGATAAAGTCATGTAATTAGAAGTAAATGAAATCATGTTTGATTTAAATTTTCTTATTTTTGAAATCAGTATATATGTGAATTTCGTTAATGGTAATACACGTTTTATTCTGTTGTGAAGGGTTTTGTCTTGAGTTTTAGTCCATAAATGGTTCTTTGGGTAAAGTGTGGTTAACTGGAATCGCGTATGCTTGTTACTGTTGTTTTATATTAAAATATGGACAATATATACACAACAACTTTACATATTAAGACAGTAGTAATTGCTTAATGTCCAAGAGAGTTTACAGTTCATTGCCTACTCTAACAACTAAGATAAGAATGCGTTGCTTTGCACAGACATTTCTTGCAAACAAGTACATATATAAATATGTATATATGTAATAAAATAGACGTGTTTATACTGGGCTATAAACATAGATCAATGAAGGCAAATATACAACAGATGTTACAAGCTTCCATATGTGACCATGCTATTGACTTTAGTAGTTTCCATGAGTCACCGTTACAAATTAAATCAAGGAAAAAACACATAAATTCACTGTCAAAGACGAGGGCAGTAAATCATATTTTCCTAAATATTACCCTCGAAAGTACAGTTTATCAACTTAAAAGAACATTTATTACCGAATTAGACTGAAACTTATCATAAAACTTTTCTGTTTCATCGGAATATATTGGATTTTATGCTTGTAACGATTGGTTAATTGGTCCCTTTAACGAGATAATGTCGGGTTCTAGATGCTATTTGTTCCCACATTTTCTCTGTATAATTGCCGTTCAGTTGACAGGACCATTTGTACGATGTCATTTAGTGTCAGTCTCCGTTATATCCCAGAAGCTTCTATACAACAAACCGTTTTCTGGTAGAATAATTCTCACAGGAGTTGAATGCTGACTGTCATTATTAATAAGATTAATTACAGTTTCTATTTAACAGAGGACAATCTGTATACCTGCTTTCGGTATATATTCTGTTTTCGACAACTCAACTTTTACTCCTCATTTAGTAGGTAGTACAGTATAACTGAAGAACTCATATCCACTACTTTTAAAGCACCAGGCACCTGTTCCTTTGACTGACTTAATCAGCATGCATGTATAATTATACATTTGTATCACGTTGACAGAAGTCAAGGTCACTTCAATTCTAAATCTTATTATTATTGATCTTTACCTTGAAATTACCATCCTGTATCTCTTCTATGCGTCAATGGAAAGTATTTGAAAGACTTGTTTTAACATATATTTCTAACCAGTATTTTGCGACATCAGCAAATCTTTAAACAGGACTTGGCATACCGGTCTCTTATAGATCTTGTAAGGTATCAGTATTAAATGTCCTTTTCTGACCAACAGAAAACAAAGGGTCGTTGATCCGGTCGTAACATCAATGTAAAATTATATCAGAGCGGTTGTACCTGAAGGTTCCATCTTGGGTCCTCTTCTATTTCTTATTTTTATTAATGATATTCTTGTTGACATTCAGGCCAATATACGTCTATTCTCCGACTTGGTAAGTGCCGTGTGGCAGCTGTAAAATGTTGCCCCGTACTTCACATCAGTGTTGTTATATTTTTCTGGTCCTTCGGAATCATTGATGCCTGCACTATTAAGTGTTGAGAATTGAGTACCGCCCAAGCCGGTGCTAGGGGGCGTGAGGGATGTTGCACTTATTCATTATCCCTCATGTACAGTCTCAATCAAACCGAGTCTGCAATTCTTATGTAATTTTGTTGTGATTAATGCTTCCGAGGGATCACTTTGTTTCCAGATTTTTTATTACAGTCGAAGATCCAGAACCGCAGCAGAAAATGTTAACGCTGATTTACAGAAACTTTCAAAATGGGTCTCAAAGTGACATGTGTTAAAATGTTAGTCTGCTTATCTGTGATATCCGCCATATGAACATATCTGCGAATGTTTCAAGATTCAATATTTAACTCGTTCATGTTAAATGTTGAATTCTGCTTAAACCGGTGCTAGGGGTGGACGGTAGCACGCAATTACCACTACCATCCATGAACAGGCTCAATCATACCGAGCCTGCAACATTTTCAATTTTGCTGTGTTTGGGCTTTCTGTACGGATTCTGTTTTTCTACATTTTCCTATTCCTCTTTGAAACGCAGCAACTATTTCCAATTTTTAAGAAAGACTTATTTACACCAACAAATACTCTACCACAATACTTTAACTTTGGAAAACATAAAAATCAAATAATTCCCAACGACTGTATTCGTACAAACTGTAGCTTACTTGCAGAGGACATCTTTTCCAAAACATATCATGACATCAACTCTTTGGGCTTCATGAAACAGTCTCCCACTTCTTCTTTCTTTATAGACAGTATGATATACTACAAGACCATCCTTGTTTAACATCATCAACAACAATAATTGTTCTTTTTCTCTAAAAAACCATTATTTCAGAGGATACATCTTTACCAATTGGAAATAAAATTAGTTTGAATGTATATTCCAAGATGTACATATATTGAAAAGTCAAAATGTTTTTACTGGACTGAAATGGTCCAACTTCTTTATAGAAGATGCCATTGTGCAGTCCGCAAAGTTCTACAATGTCCAATCTTGTATCTATACATTTTCTTTTTCTGTTATGATTTCTTTCTTTATGTAAACCTTTTTAGCGCTTCTTTATGTTTTCTCTCGATTGTTTTTGTTCTTTAATTAACTTTGTCTTTTAAATTTTTCATATTTAGTCATAGATGTGTAGATATTAGTCAACTATTTGTATCACCACCACATTCTGTGCTATAAGCGAAGAGAATTCAAAGGTTTTAGCTTTCAGTTCAATCCACTTTTTCATGATTATGTATAAATCTTTTGTATTTTGTATATTGTATAAACTTTTAAGAAATTTAACTTTATAAAAATATAAATATGTTTAAACCAAATCGTCAGATGTTGCTTCGTGTTTTTTTTTCCAGTTTCTAAGGATGTCTTTTTTGTCTCAAATCTCCAGCAGTAGTGTACATGTATGTCTAAATCATTGAAATGTTCAATCGCAAACTTGCTTGTACATACTTAAGATGAACAACGTTGTTTTTTTTTAAATAATTTTTAAATTTCTAAAAACACGGGTAAATCCCATTTATAGTTAATGTCTTTCGATGAAGAGTTTTTGCCTTCAAAACAGGATGCGGTGAAATTAAGGGAATTATTTTAGGTCTTATGAAACCTCCACAAAGTTATGAAATGTGTTTTGTTGAACTGTTCAACTGCACCAACGCAAAGTAATTATCACAATTATCATTTAAGGACAAATTTAGGACTGTCTCGACAAGAATAATTATCAAATGATATATTACTTGTCAATGTTATTGATGAAATGAATACCGAAACAGATAATCGGCTACTGGTAAAGAGCTAAAGAATTTTAAAATTTGTTTTCAAAGTTTAAAGAAGCAAACTTTTAGCTTATTTAATTAAACAATCGGACTTTATTCCAAATTAATATCAGTCACGTGGTAGAGCAATTATCAGGAATGTAGAGAAAGACTCAGAACAAAAGACTTTTGCCCAATTAAAGCTTAGTACAATGTGAGTTTTGCCATATCGAGGAGGATGCTAACCATTTCTTTTTTAATTGTAAACTTTTTGGTGTTCAAAAACTCCAACTTTTCACTTCCACTCGCCCTTTTCATCCATTAATTACAAGTACTCTCCTTTATGGAAAAGAAAATTTATCAGACGAGGAAAACTCTTTTTTATTTCATGAGGTTCAAAAATATATAAAAAAATACACATAGATTTAAATAATAACAAATAAGTACATGTAAAAATAACAATCGTTGTTCCAATTTTAATTCTTCTAATTCCCCATATAAATGACATATTTTGACAGCCATGCAAACCATCACATACAGTGCAGGAAAAAAATATGTTTTTTTTTAATATTTAAAAAATTGATTAGCAAATGTTTTTTTCTTTTAAATTTAATGTCGAATTCTATTTGCTACTTTGTTTTTGTATCCGTCTTAATATTTGTAATTGCTCATGTGTATAGTGTTTAAACATGTTTTTGTTTCTATATCTTATAATGCTTAAAGGAAGGGCAGTTACTAATGTTGCTAGAAATTGTTGTTCAACCCTTTTGCCCTTTTTTAAAAATGTTGTTTTGTGGAAATAATGTTCTTAGATTGTATTCAAAGAGCAATAAAATATTATTAAGCTAAACTAAGTACAATGTATCTCATTTGTGGCGAAAACATTCAACCCATCAATTCAGCTACTGCTTCTAAATGGCAAACAGGCACCAGTTAACTAAGGCTGGTTATCCAGTGATGACTTGATAACAGTATATATTAAGATCAATAAATGTATGGAATGATTGAAGGGTTGAAAAATGTGAGTACAGAAAACAAAATCAAGCTGGTTTACACTGGTGCGTGTAGTGGTTTTATAGTTGAAATTTGTTTGGTTTGCAATCTTACCAGTCACGAATATTTTGTCATCTAATACATCTGCGGTAAATCGACAACGAGGCTCAACCATACTTGCGCATGCATTCCACTTCCCTGTGTCGGGATTATACCGCCAAGTTCCGTCTGACATATCACCGGAAATCCAGTCTTTACCGCCTACTATAAACAGCATGCCGTTTAAAACAACTGGTCGGTACCCAAGGAGGTTACGCAATTTATGAAAAATAGTTGTATTCATTTTTGGAAACATCCTGTCTTTTGTCCGTGGATCTAACATAAAGTAATAAACTCTGTCACTTCCGGTTGCCCGGTTAAATAGCAAGATAAACTCATAGTCCGGTCTGTGCTGATGATGTCGTATACTCATGTTTCAAACTTTTGAAAAACCACAAAATCCGTAATTCAGAAATGTTACGTCATACAACATGTAGCAATGTACGCAGTTAGCCAAGTGTAATGATGCACATTAGAAAAAACAGTTATTATAATGCATGTGATACTCAATTGACGTTCAAGTTAAAATATCCGGTAAAGTATGTTTTTGATTTTAATCGTTTATTTCACGACATAAAGCTGCAAATCAAATCTTTTAATCCGACGCAAAACACCTAATTTAAAAACGAAAAGTTTAAATAAGAAGGTAAGTCGTGATTTGAACAATATAAATTTTAAGCGCATATATTGCACCTTGTTTTAATCCTTTATAAAATATTAACAATTAACATGTATAGTTATAGAACATGTTACATCATTTTACTTCATTAAAAAGGTTTTTCTTTTATTTAAATGATAAATATAAAGCATAAGGAGACATGACCATGGCAACCAGTCTATTAAACACTCAGATCGTTTCAGATTAAACAGATGATGTTTTCTCTAAAGCCAATGTACATATCAGCTGCTATGTCACAATATTTAGTTTATTCTTATTGAGAAAGTATTCAAGAAAACGCCAGTAACAAGAGTATAGATGGTTAATGTTCCTATGCAAAAGGTTTGTCTTTAATTGTACAGTACATATTGATATTGTCTCACTTATACATTATTTCGGACATTCACAGGACAGCTACGCAGGAATATGTCTGGAGTCTGCAGTAGAAGTATTTGCAGTACTTATGTGGTTTGTTCTGTACCAGTAGCTTCCAACTTCCAAACATAAATAATTTGAAATATCGGTATTGGACGAATACCATTGAAGTTATTGCACAAAAACTACGGACCATGACAAGGCCTTTAACAACGGCCTTACAGAGCTAACTCGACTTCCGTGTGCCGTGTGGCGGCCGAAAAAGTCTACCCGTAAACTGTTGTTATATTTTCATCCACACGGAATTGTTCGGTACCCGCCTTCATGTCCAGCTTGCATATGCCATTTCGCCCGGTTTTGGTTCTATGCCTTCTGGGTGTCCTGCTGTTGTGGCTGGAGTGTGTCGGGGCTGCGTTCTGTGAATGTTGCCTTTGCCTTATTGATCTTTGTTTTCATTTCTTAATTGTTTTAATTGACGATATCACTAAGTGTGCGATCGTTTGAATTACACAATTTACAGGAACTGTCATGATAACGTCTAAAATATATAAATTCAACTTTTATTTCATTACATATATAAAACAATATTTATAGCATCAAAATATAAAGGTTGGTGACATGGAATAAACAAAAAACATAAAGTACAACTCAATATGAAACATTCATATTACAAAATAGTATTTTATACAGGGTCCTTTTCCTAGTATAAACATAGACTTTAGAGTGCCAAATATTCTGTCAGTGTTTCGTTGTTACAGTATTTTTTACACCAAGGTGATGATTGAACCATCTTTTAAGAAGAAGTTCACTTACGTCACAAAAGTAATGTTACAAAAACAAAAATGTTATCTCAGGGAGGTGCAGTATTTAACCCATTGTATAACTTGTATAAAAGTTGACTAGGCAATTCTATATAACCAACTATAAAATATCTAAACTCTTTCATATAAGGCATTGGCAATTTTTAAGATGTTTAATACGTGTATTACTTTATATGAGATCCATTAGGCAATGCTACATGTCGCATGTATAAGCTCTAGGCATTGCAGCTTCACATAAGAAGACTTCTATGCGTTTTCTTTGCACGCCAATATAAAGTAAGTGAGTTTTAATTTTGATTCTAGAGGCAAGATATATTTTTGTTGTGAACCACCAGGTGATAATACATGCATAGTAATTGTCTTACTTTTTGTACTTTCAGAGAAGAAGATTTCTAAAAGACCATTTTACAATAAAAGTCTATGTAAACTAAGTGAACCCTAGGACGTGCTAATTTTGACCACAGTGCCACTATCTATATCGATTGTGTCTAGTGTTAGCTCTTGTTACCTTCTTGTGCATCAAACTTGAGTTAATGATTTAAAATTTTGCAGAGGGCCGCCTTAGGATCCTTCCTTTGAAGTTTGGTCCAAATTTATCTTTTGGTTTCACGACGGACGATGGACAACCGGCCATAATGTAAGCACATTTCTTAGCATTTTATGCTCCACTGGACATAAACACTTCAGATTAAAATGCACAGCGAATCTAACTCAGAACATTATTTTAACAAAACGTGCCAAATGAGGCAAACCTTTATAAGCATTAATATATTTCGCAGATGAAAAATGTGACAATATCATACAAAGAAAAACATAGCTAGATTGAACATAGAGTACATTGGCGAAATAAAAAGAGCATACAGGTGTTTGAGTCTAACATGGTCTTATACAGGGACAGTCAGTCGGGTGCTAACTGTGTCGTGCATCATACCAGACAATATACAATGTAATACGATTTTTATCCAAATAAATCGCAGTCTTAATTATTGTAAATAACATTTTTGTAAGGCAAGTCAATCACATTAAATCAATATCAGAGTTTCTAATCGATAAATGAAAGGTTATACTAGAATTATATATTGATCTGGCCCTTTGATGATAAAGCCATTTATGTGTATGTACTCGAACCAAAAACTGATTATTTTCCCCCAATTTAAGACTGACTCATCTGTATAAAATGTCGTTTCTTGTTCATAAAAACATATCAATACAATTATATGAACACAATTTTTGAATCTTCACTTAGAGATGGCTATTATTTCGCCTAAAATATTGGATCAAAGAAATCGGTAGAAGAAATTAAGATGATAAAAAGAAGAAAATTACAAGGTTATGAGTTTTAGTACAAAATTCAATTATTTCTTTAACTTCTTTTTCATTCACATCAAATTTACAATTTATAAATATGCTTGTATAAAATAAATTCCGATAAAATAGGAAAACTTATTAATTTCAATATGTTATTTGTCAAATGAAAATAACACATGTATAATTAAATCCGAAAACGATATTTTACTGTGTGTCAGAAACTAAAGCCGCCGTATCATGGAAATGCTCAAATTCAAATTAAATTTTATGATAAATATGTAAATTATTCGTATGATAATAAATGCATATTTTAAGTGTGGCTTTTTCGGTTATGCAACAAGCTGCATTTTGCTGTCAATTGTTTCTTATTCTTAATGAATGTAAAATTTGTATACCGGAGATGATTTAATGCTACTTATGTACAAATTTCGTCCACAAAAATATATAAAAAAAATTAAACAAAACAAGCGTATTATATATGTATTGTTGTGATATATAAGACATTTGTTTACATGTTTATTTACATTCCGCTCTTTACAATGTCTGTCAACTTGACATAAGGTGATACTCTGCGGTTTTTGCGGTTTTTGTGGTCTCGCGTGACAGAAACACAAGTTACGATTACATCAGTTCGCATTTCTATAGACGTGTTGTTCTTTGTTGATTTCATTAACATTCCGGGTATATGCGTAACACAACTTCCTGTTTCCTATATTGTTTTAAAACACACATGTACTATTAAATTGGTTTCTTGCATTACAGTATTATTTTAAGAAGCACGCCTCTAAAACAGAAAGTACGTTTGTATATCAATATCTAGAGATTAAGTAAATGGAGTGTCAGTCATAAATTTTTAGCGAAAAAAATGAATGAAACCCTAATTTATACCCCCATAAGACTTGAGTGTTGTATTTTTCCGGCCGAAAAATACTTTGTATGTGCCAACATAATATTATGCATATGACTTTAATATTTCAAAAAATTTAAACATAGGCTCAATATCATAATCTTTATGATTCTATTAGATACGATATGCAAATAAACCAGTTTTAAGTCGCCGAGTGTCTTTTTTAAAGATATTTGTTTAATATTCTCAGAGAAATGAGCGAGAAGCGTCTGTCTTAAATATGATGACTACTTATTGATATGATGACTACTTATTGGTATGATGACTACTTATTGGTATGATGACTACTTATTGGTATGATGAATACTGATTGGTATGATGACTACTTATTGATATGATGAATAATGATTGATATGATGACTACTTATTGATATGATGACTACTTATTGATATAATGCCTACTTATTGATATGATGACTACTTATTGATATGATGAGTACTGATTGATATGATGACTACTTATTGATATGATGACTACTTATTGATATGATGACTACTTATTGATATGATGACTACTTATTGATAACATGACTACTTATTGATATGATGACTACTTATTGATAACATGACTACTTATTGATATGATGAGTACTGATTGATATGATGACTACTTATTGATAACATGACTACTTATTGATAACATGACTACTTATTGATATGATGACTACTTATTGCTATGATGACTACTTATTGATAACATGACTACTTATTGATATGATGACTACTTATTGATTACATGACTACTGATTGATATGATGAGTACTGATTGATATGATGACTACTTATTGATAACATGACTACTTATTGATATGATGACTACTTATTGATAACATGACTACTTATTGATATGATGACTACTTATTGATAACATGACTACTGATTGATGTGATGAATACTGATTTTACAGCGCTTAAATATAAATTAGTATAATTTATTGTCAAATAATGGCGGCACGGGTATTGGAGGGGTAGAGGGAGCACGGTTTTTAAAAAGTCCGTCAGTGATGAAATTACATTAAGTTGAAAATTAAATAGCTTTTATATGTGGGTAAAGTTGCATGATATTTGAATATTGTTCCTGTCGTTCGTTGACTAACAGTAAACATATAGAGGGAAGTTAAAAATCTTTCGACAAAGAAGATATATGATCAAAATGTAATTGTAAAGCTGACTCATCTGTATTACATGGTTGACAAATTCACACTGTGAGTATGAATATATACGTAGAGTCACATTCATTGATTAAGTGTATGCATAATTCATGTCGCAAATAAGTAAACTTGTAAACATGACCCGGGCATAGTCCTGAATCATGTTCGGTATCTTTGATAAATTCTGTCAATATATTCAACAATTATTTTGATAATTTCTCTTGTAAATTTGTATAATGGAGTAGTTTTTTTTATTAATTTTCAGAAATTAATTTCATAGAGTTCTCATTAAAATATTAAGCAATATAGAGATTTGTCAGACTCCCAGGATGCACAGGCTGGTCTGCTGGTCGAATTTTCGCCTCAATTCTCTCCATTATTGTATTGTTAAACAAGCGCTCAAAAAAGCCCAAACGGCTCATCACATGCTAAAATAAAAGTGCACACTGAATATGCTCATCAATATTTCAAAATACTCATCCATACAGTAAGATATTGTTAAATGAATAATATTTACGTATTGCTAGGTAATAATGATTCAAGCGTTTCTTAATCACTTGAATGAAGCGTGAACCTTGTATCAACTGAGCAATCTTCCAATTTTATTTTATTTTATTCGATAACGAGGTTGATTATAGGTATTAATATAAGGTTAACCCATGATAATCTGTTCAAGTCTTCATTAAATGCCGTTAATCCGGGTTCATGAGATAGCTCTTAAACTTCTTTTATTAAACAGTTTCCAGATGTACTTCCCATTTATTATACATAGTATACATCATAGTTGTCTGTCATCGTCCCAGTGGTGTGTTTATCTGTCAATTAATCGAACTAATTAGTTAATAACACTTTGATAATTTTAATATTTGGTGAAGTCACCCTTTAACCGCATTGTGGGATGATGCATTCAACCTATTCTGTGGGAAATAAGATGAACATGGGCATACTTCTTCA